TCTTCCACTTGCCGTTGCTTTCCGACATGAATATTGAGTTCATCTTGGACCTTCTTTAATACATGGCGGTTATTCAATAGCAGGGAGACTGCCCATGTAAGTGTGACCAAAGAGGTATCAGTGCCACCCATGACAAGAGTCTGCAATCACAATTGCCTAATCAAAGTCTATATGTGGTCTTGTTATAAATTACACGATTCAACTTAACCATAACATACCAGGCAAGTAGCTTTGATGGTAACATCAGCCTCTTGAGATGGAACGTTGCTTTCATCCATGATAGACAACATGACATCCATGAAATCTCGGTCCCCTTCAACGTCTTCGTTGAGCCTCCTTTCGCGATGCTCGCTTAACCAGCTTCCGAGTACAGCATCCAGCTCCTTTGCCGTCCTCTGTATTTTGCCTATGTTTCCCGTCACTACGTCTAGCCAACCAAGAAAAGGCACCGCATCGGAAAACAAGAACAACCCTCCAAGATAAAAGAAATCACTCATGGCCTTTTGGCATCGCCTTGATTCGTCGTTACAGCTTCCTTCTGTACCGTAATATCTTTTCCCAGCACCATCCTCACTATGATGTTGGTTGCTAAGTCACCGATTCTTTCCTTCATCTCCACTACCGCAACGCCTCCATTTTTCGCCGATTGCTCATATAATTCCCTCAAAAAACTATTGATTTCGGTGTCGGGAACATGTTTGAGTAACTCGAGCCGGTGACTAGAGAGGAGCTCAACCGTAACTAGTTTCCTCATATTGCGCCAATAGGGTCCATAAGGACCGAAGCCAAACATGCGATCATATCCCATGTGCTTTATGGCTATGGATTTTGGACGATTGAGGAAGACCCTATCATTGGTTGTGAAACATTCTTTTGCAACTTCCCAGTTACTCACCACAAGTGCTCGATGAATCCCGAGACGGATCGAGAACGTCGGTCCGTACTTGTCAGCCATGTCTGCAAATGTTCTATGCAGCAGCTGGTGTTTTCTGAGAAGAAGAAGATGACCGAGAAACGGTACCGCCCCATCCGGCTCGGAGGGTCTCCTCTGCTGTTTCTTATTGCCTTTAACAAGGATGATGGCCACAAATATGGTGATAATTATGGTGAAAAGAAGTGCAAGGAGGAGATGTTCAAGAAATTGTATGGAGAATTCCATGGTCTCCTTTGCTTTAGCCTTTAATGGAAATGAGCCAATTAGCGTAGGCAATCATAATTGTTTTCACAAACTAAATAATACATATAGAATAAAAACAAGATTGGAGAAACAGTGTAACATCGGCAAATTCAAGCCACATAATGATACATCAATCTAATCTGATTAAAATATGTGTTCCATGTAGCTGCTCTCTATTTTAATATAATTAAAATATCCGGGTTGTGGGTCCGAGAGCGATTTCTGTGCATGACTCTATTTTTTGGAAATAATAATTAAAAGATAAATTAAATGGATTTTCCTATTTTTTTGGGAGAAGTCGACGCCAACTCAGATACAAAATCGATCCAAGTACAAACTCTGATGAAATAATCCAAGTAGCAAGATCAAAGGGGAAAAGCAAGACGAACCACAATTCTTTAGGAATTAAAAGTTGTGATTAAATTTAAACATCTTAGATTTTATTATTTATTTAATTAGAATTTTTATTTGCTTAAAATTTCGATTAGGATTTTAATTATTCATTATTATGATTTTTAGTTTACTATTTATTAGGAATTTGAGTGTTTTAATTTGCTTGAGAATTAATATTTTATTTTTTTAGGTTTTCTCTAGCTATAAATATCAAAGCTTGACAGATCTACAAGTTTAGAATTCAGTATAGAACTGGTTCTGTATTTTCTTTTGTTTTAGGTGTTTTGTTTAATAAAAATATTTTCTTCTTCATCTTCTTTCTTTCTACACCCTAAGCATGATCTCTATCATGCCTGACTAAACTTTTCTTTAGTTAATAGCTAAGCGAAGACTCAATCTATTCTCGTGAGAATTGCAAGAAGTGCTTCATATCTTTAGATTCTTTCTTGATTTTCGGCAGACATCCTTCAAACATCTCAACACTCTCAATCCAAAGAACACACATTGGTTTGATCGAAGTTTTGATCTACAGCTGGAGAGGAAAATTGGCTTGTAGGAAGTTCAATTCCCTAAGAACAAACTTAGCGACGGTCGTTAGGGGAAATCAAGATCAGGTTCATTTCTCATCGAGACACCATAATCCGAGCACGGGCTTTTCAGTTCCAAACCAGCATCAACGTTAATATCGATAGTTGATATTAATCCAAACAATCTATGTTAGGCTTCCTTCTGTACCATAGTATAAGCTCAAAATTTTGACACCTCACATCTATGTTAGCAACTTGCAGCTTCCTTCTGTACCATAGTATCTTTTCCCAGCAATCATCCTCACTATGATTGTTGGTTGCTAAGTCACCAATTCTTTCCTTCATCTCCACTACCGCAACGCCTCCGTTTTTCGCCGATAGCTCATATAATTCCTTTATAAAGCTATTGATTTCGGTGTCGGAAACATGCTTGAGTAATTCGAGCCGGTGATTCCGGAGGAGCTCAACCGTCGATAGCTTCCTTATACAGCGCTAATACGGACCGTAAGGAGCAAAGCCTAACATGTTATGGTCATACCCCATATGCTCTATGGCTAAGGACTTTGGACGATTGACGAAGACCGTATCATTGGTATACTCCCCGTGGCCACCGATCTACGGCTGGGACATGCACGGCTGTTGTTCGTTCCGAAGCTGTATCGATTCTGGAAGGCCTAGATGGTGACATGCTGCGCCGCATCCCTGCAGCATGTCACCACCAGCTGAAGGTTTACCATCCATTGTTGTCGGTAAGTTCGAAAGGATACAATCCAGTTGCTCAGTTAGTATACCGATACCATCGGAGCACAATTAAAGAGTCCCATGGAAAGCATTTCGTCCCGGATACGAGTAACTACAATTAAATTTCCCAAGAAATGCAAGTCCTTGAGCTTGGCTCAAATTCGTAGTTTCTTAATTATGCTAGCCTAAGTATCAGTGGCTTGAATTGGAACAGAAAATGAATGAAAACAATATCATAAATTAACATAAATAATATAATACAACAGCTTATTAAACTATAAAACACAGTAATTGTTTTACATATGCATCTTTGCGCCAATTACCTATAGAGAAAGGAAGGTAACTTTGGGGAAAGAGTAAGCACTAATGGTGCAGCTCTAGAAATAGTTATTCCAGGGCTTTCACTCATGTCGATGGCTTCATCTCCGACCGTTCCCCATTCAAATCCATGAATCAATCGAGCCAAAGCTAAGTGCTGGAACCGAAGCGCAAAAGTGATACCAGGACAAATCCTTCTACCAGAACCAAATGGTATAAGCTCAAAATTTTGACCCCTCACATCCGTGTTAGCATGCTCATTGAGGAACCTCTCAGGCATGAAATCCAATGGGTTATGCCAAACGTTGGGGTCGCGATGCATCTTCCAGAGGTTAACGAAAAGTCGAGTGCCTGCCGGAATGTGGGAACCGGCTATTGTGCAGTCCTCTGTGGCTTCTCTTGTTACCAGAGGCCCCGCGGGGTATAACCGCAATGTTTCCTTGATAATGGCTTGAAAGTATGGCAAGTTAGTTATGTCGGACTCTTCCACTTGCCGTTGCTTTCCGACATGAATTTCGAGTTCATCTTGGACCTTCTTTAGTACATGGCGGTTATTCAATAGCAGGGAGACTGCCCATGCAAGTGTGGCCAAAGAGGAATCAGTGCCACCCAAGACAAGACTCTGCAATAACAATTGCCTAATCAAAGTCTGTATGTGTTGTCTTGTTATAAATAACAAAATTCAACTTAACCATAACATACCAGGCAAGTAGCTTTGATGGTAACATCAGCCTCTTGAGATGGAACGTTGCTTTCATCCATGATAGACAACATGACATCGATGAAATCTCGGTCCCCTTCAACGTCTTCGTTGAGCCTCCTTTCGCGATGCTCGCTTAACCAGCTTCCGAGTACAACATCCAACTCCTTTGCCGTCCTCTGTATTTTTCCTATGTTTCCCGTCACTACGTCGAGCCAACCAAGAAAAGGCACCGCATCGGAAAACAAGAACAACCCTCCAAGATAAAAGAAATCACTCATGGCCTTTTGGCATCGCCTTGATTCGTCGTTACAGCTTCCTTCTGTACCGTAATATCTTTTCCCAGCAACCATCCTCACTATGATGTTGGTTGCTAAGTCACCGATTCTTTCCTTCATCTCCACTACCGCAACGCCTCCGTTTTTCACCGATTGCTCATATAATTCCCTCAAAAAACTATTGATTTCGGTGTCGGGAACATGTTTGAGTAACTCGAGCTGGCGACTAGAGAGGAGCTCAACCGTAACTAGTTTCCTCATATTGCGCCAATAGGGTCCATAAGGAGCGAAGCCAAACGTCTGATCATACCCCATCTCCTTTATGGCTAAGGATTTTGGACGATTGAGGAAGACCCTATCATTGGTTGTGAAACATTCTTTTGCGACTTCCCAGTTACTCACCACAAGTGCTCGATGAAACCCGAGACGGATCGAGAACGTCGGTCCGTACCTGTCAGCCATGTCTGCAAAGGTTCTATGTAGCAGCTGGTTTTTCCGAGAAGATGAAGATGACCGAGAAACGGCAACGCCCCATCAGGCTCGGGGGGTCTCCTCTGCTGTTTCTTATTGCCTTTAACAAGGATGATGGCCACAAATATGGTGATAATTATGGTGAAAAGAAGTGCAAGGAGGAGATGTTCATGAAATCGTAGGGAGAATTCCATGGTCTCCTCTGCTTTACCCTTTAATGGAAATGAGCCAATTTGCGTAGGCAATCATAATTGTTTTCACAAACTAAACAGTACATATAGAATAAAAACAAGATTGGAGAAACAGTTTAACATCGGCAAATTCAAGCCGCAGAATGATACATCAATCTAATCTGATTAAAATATGTTCCATGTAGCTGCTATCATATTTTTCATATAATTAAAATATGTGCCGCAGGATGACCATTAAGCAAGGTTAGGGTTTCAAATTATGGTGTTTGCGAATGGAGCAAACTAGGTTGGAAGGGTCGTCCTTGCCTCTGCAGTATCCGATCTGGATTAGTCAGTATCGAATACTAGTGATTAATTAAAAAAATCCAGGTTGTGGGTCCGAGAGTGATTTCTTGTGTTGAAAAAAATGAACACAATTTGACTTCATTTCCTGAACAAAATAAATCAACAGCATACAATGATGTGATTACGAACCTCTCTCACATTACATGTTCAACCACAACCTTGGCTTCTTCTTCTTTCTTTTCATCCACTGCCATTGTTTTATCTTCTTTCTTTTCACCCTCAATAATGGCTTCTTCTTTCTTTGTTTCTTCATTCCTATCTTCCTGCAAATCGATCCATTGCGAAAAATATATGTTATGATCATGGGAAAGTAAGTGATGCAGAAGAGATAATGATTTCTCTATATGATAAAGATTATGAGTTCGAATCATGTCGTCATAATGTCATGCACTTGCTCTTTAGTGGTACAATCAAATATGCTTTAAGAGAGGAAAAAAAGCTAGAAGAAAGTTACATTGTCAAGCAAATAACGAAGGGAATGTGGTCTGATTTCCTCGTCTTCATTAGCCATGTTTTCCTCTACTTCTTCCTCGGCGGCTGGCCAGAGAGATTTCTCCTTGGCGGGTTCGGGTTTTAGGCCGGCAGCCGAGGCTTCGTCTTTCAAGACCTTTGGCTTACTAGCGCAAGCACCCATGTCTTGAAAGATGAAGGCGAAGAAGAAGAAAACAAGTTATGAAAATGAAAGGAAACGAAGCTTCTTGTGATGATCATTAGGCTCAACATTGAGGGTCTTTTATAATGATTTTCAGTGGTGCAGATAGATTTAAGGGAGCCAATGGCTGTATTTATCTTGAAATAACTGAAATATAGTCAAGATTTAATATATTTTTTCCATTTTTCAAAATTAACATGGATCGATTAAGTATTTAAATCCGAAATTCGAGGAATAAAATGCTTGGTATGTATAAGAATCTTATGGTGACAAATATTTAGTTCTTATCAAATTTTTAGAATAAAGTCAGTATGATCATGTATGGAAAGTAGATAAACCAGAACCATGAACACAAGCTAACATGAGGCACTAGGTCCCTTAAGTAAGGTTAGGAATTTGAATCTTGGCGTTTACGAATGAAGCAAACTGGGTTGGGAGGGTCGCCCTCGCTTCTGCATTACCCGAACTGGATTAGTCGGTCAATAGATCGAATACCAGTGATTAATTCAAAAAAAATATCCAGGTTGTGGGTCCGAGAGTAATTCTTGTGTTGATAAGTGATGAGTGCTAATTTGGGTTAGTTATGCTTAAATCTGTGCACGATTCTATTTTTCAGGAAATAATAATTAAAAGATTAATTAAATGGATTTTTTTTTAGGAGAAGTCGGCACCAACTTAGATACAAAATCAATCCACGTACAGATTCTGATTAAATAATCCAATTAGCAAGATCAAAGGAGAAAAGTAAGACGAACCACAATTATTTAGAAATTAAAAGTTGTGATTAAATTTAAACATCTTAGATTTTATTATTTATTTAATTAGAATTTTTGTTTGCTTAAAATTTTGATTAGGATTTTAATTATTCTTTATTATGATTTTTAGTTTACTATTTATTAGGAATTTAAGTGTTTTAATTTTATTGAGAATTAATATTCTATAGGTTTTCTGCATTTTCTTTGTTTTAGGCTTTCAGTTTAATAAAATATTTTTCTTCTTCATCTTCTTTCTTTCTACACGCCAAGCATGATCTCTACCATGTCTGACTAAACTTTTCTTTAGCTAACAGCTAAGCGAAGAATCAATCCATTCTAGTGATAATTGCAAGAAGTGCTTCATATATTCATATTTCTTTCTTGATTTCGGCAAACATCCTTCAAACATCTCAACACTTTCAATCCAAAGAACACACATTGGTTTGATCGAAGTTTTGATCTATAGTTGGGGAGGAGAATCGGCTTGTAGGAAGTTTAATTCCCTAAGAACAAACTTAGCGGCGGTTCGTTAAGGGAAATCAAGATCATGTCATTTCTCATTGAGACACCATAATCCGAGCACATCCTTTTCCAGTTCCAAACCAGCATCGACGTTAATATCGATAGTTGATATTAATCCAAACAAGGGCTAAATTTCAAGGATTGGCTTTGGAAATTAGGTCAGCCGAGAAAAGAGCAAGTTACAAGGGTTGAGTCTTGTAGACTGTAACCGACAAGTATCTGAAATAAAATCTATTTAAGTGATCCAGACGGATTGAGGCGAAGCGAAGCTGGAGGCTATCTCTCATCTTAATTATTTCTTTATTAAAACACCTCTTTTTAGCTTTCTTATTTTACAGATTTCTAGGTTAAAGATCAATTCAGATTGATATTAGAACTTTCCGAATCCCTTCGGACTGACCCTTTCTTTCCTATTTTGCTTTTTTAGCTATATGAGGAAAAGGGCTTATTTATTTGACAATTACGATGCTTGTCAATAAGTAATATCTACTCAAAATATTTTTTAATCTTCACAATACTTAATTTAAATTAATCGAGTAATAGATCAAATATTGGAAGTTAAACCGAAAATATAATCACTTGTAGGCCGAAGGAGCGAAGGCAAACATGTGGTCATACACTCATACTCATACCCCATATTCTTTATGGCTAAGGATTTTGGGTTACGCATGATACTCAGACTTAAATGCCTCACACTAATTTCATATCTTGGAGAGTAAATGAGACATTAGTGTCAGCAATCAAGGAATCTGATGGATAGAGTTCATTGAGACCTATTTACAATAACCTCTTAAATTCATAATGTGCAACTGGTGGTTTAGATTGTAAATGAATCATACTTGAGTGCTTTTCCTTTCTTTTATTATCAGATTCCCAATAAACAAACATCAGTTTTGGGCACTCACATGTGGATTCTTATGCGTCTTTGCACCAATTATGTGTAGAGCATGGAAGGTAACTTTGGGGTAGGAGTAACCTCTAATGGTGTTGCTTTAGGAACGGTTATTCTGGGGCTTTCGCTCATATCGACTGCTTCATCCGAGACAGTTCCCCATTCGAATCCAGTATAGAGATTGCATGTCATGATAATGTCGGCAAGGGTGACTGAGTGCCCATGTAGAGATTGCATGTCATGATAATGTCAGCCAGTGCCGTGGCTGGGGCGGTGCGAGATGGGCGACCGCGCAGGCCCCCCAAAAAATAGGGGCCCCAAAAAAGTATATCTATAATGGCGTTTTCCAATAAACGCCACTATAGATGGACTTATTGCGACTTTTTTAAAAAAACGCCACTATTATTACGGCTTTTATTGAAAAAACGCTACTATAGATGGACCTATTATAGCGTTTGTCAAAAAAACGCCACTATTATTGCCTCGAAATCGAATTTATCTAGAAAATAGGGGCCCCTTTTAAGAATTTGTACAGGGCCCCCGACAACCTAGCCTGATGTCAGCAAGGGTGACTGATCGCCCATATAGAGATTGCATGTCATGATAATGTCAGCAAGGGTGACTGAGTGCCCATTTAGAGATTGCATGTCATGATAATGTCAGCAAGGGTGACTGAGCGCCCATATAGAGATTGCATGTCATGATAATGTCAGCAAGGGTGACTGAGTGCCCATATAGAGATTGCATGTCATGATAATGTCAATAAGGGTGACTGAGTGCCCAACCAGGTAGGTATTGGAAGCAAGGTGAGTCCTTAATGAGTCCAGTGCTCTCTTCAATGAAGCAATAGCAGCTTCCTCGGCCTACATCACTCAAATAAATTAGAGTTCAGTTAAAATTACAATGGTAAGAATGACAGCATCAAAGGAATCGGATAGAAAACAGCTTAATCTCTTCAAAATAAACAAGGAAAATACACCGTCATCCCAGTCAATCCAACGGGATGCTTCTGAACCAAAATTATTTGGATTCATTCATTTCAAGAAACTATGACGGAAGAGCCTGATGAAGAAAAATGGTCTCGAAAGCTACTATGTATACAACTTACGGGAGGAAGGTATACAGACAAACCAACTCTTGGATAGAGCCATAAAGATATCGAGACACCATAATCCGAGCACGGGCTTTTTTAGTTCCAAACCAGCATCGACGTTAATATCGATAGTCGATATCTTTATGGCTAAGGATTGTCACTTAACTTTTAAACAATTTGTTTTTGGTACTGTATATTTCGACCTCCATCAGTAAGTAATCATCGATCGTCTTTCATTACAAAATCAGTTCCAAAACGGAATTCAAATTATACTTGATGGAAAATATATAAAATTTTAGCATGCAATTTTGTAAAAGTAATATATTTTGATATTATTTTAATTTAATTGTTTTACAAAATCTAACTCTTTCTAATTATATTAATTTTGAAGAAGAAGAAAAACTATTCAAGGTTTAATCTGTAATACATTTGCCTGCTGGTGCTGAGCTTTGGGATGAAACAAAACACCGGAAGACAAATTACCGACATCGTCCGTCGCTTACGGTCAAACTCAATTTTCGCTATTGTATTCATCTTTTAGGACAGAGATTTGCGGTCGGCATACTGCATTTGTCTCTCGTGCTCTTTCATCACTTCGTCAAGGTTTTCTCCGGGACCAGGAGGAATCAATGGCCCCGAACAATGGATTCGGTTTTCGTTCGGAACATAACGCTTCACCTGTGTGTGTTACAGAACTGTTAACATATGGTACTAACTTTTCATGGATGTCTAAGACATAACATTACCTTATCACCGCCGATTCCTTGGACAATAGGTGCGAAGCGTTCGGCTTATTAGATAAACAATGGAAGGATTGATCGTTATCGAGATGGCTAAATCCGGCTTTAAAATGCCCTTCGGGCCACTGTGGACCGGTCATATGGAACCGTGAATGGCCTCTAACAGCAACGGAGTTAGAAAATCGGGACAATTCTGCTGCTCCGAATTGTCGAGCACTAGCCTTGATAGATGGGATCTGGTTTCTGTCCATAATCCGTGACGTTCCAAAGTTACCACTGTGCATTGACAGGCTGGAATGAGAGTATACGTTTCTCGGCATTCCTTTCCGAGGCTCGGTAGGGCAGCCTGGACGATCTACTTCGATGAAAATTTTAGTATTCAACTGCCATTGCCGGTTCTGTATCAAGCACCATAGTTACACTAACATACTAAAATAAACATGCATGAGCAAATAAATCTTATAGCTTAAGAGGTACCTGAATAGATGGCTGTAACCCGGCATTGAATTCGGGATCGAGAATCGCTGACGATTCTCTGGAAAGCTTTATAAAGGAATTGTTTTCGCGAACTTTCCCGAAAGCCGGAAAATACGTTACAGATTCGTCATTTTGAAGCTTGACATCGAACTCTTTATTAGGTCGGTACTTGGGCAAAGTTGATGGATCACAGGGGAGAGGATTTGTTGTAAAGAACTGTGAACAAAATGATGTAGGACAAGTCATATGCAACTTATCTGGTTAACTTCAGCAACATGTCGATTCTCGAGGAATTGACATAAACAAAAGCAATTGGACTAACAGAGCGATTGCTTACCTCACTCTGCAGTGCCGAAGAAGCAGTTCCACGAAGCTCGGGTTTTGTTGCAAGAAGAACCTCCAACAAGTCCAGAGTAGAAGCAGGGAAGTCCTTGAATGTGTCGCTAATGCTACGGTTATATGGTCGTTGAGGTTTGAAAAGTGTTAGGTATGGCTCATAAATATACCAGTAAAGAGGACAGGAGATGGAGCGGAGTGAGCGAAGCGAACATCAACTGTCCTTACAAAGAAAGTCTTGTTGTGGGGTTACGAATTATGTGGGTTGAGGGTGCGGGGGCTACGCCCCCGCGGTACGGTACATGGTTGATTTTGTAATTATGTACCAGGGTTTTCTATTATAAATAGAGATGTAACCTAGACCTAAAATATCATTGAATAAAACTTCTAGCGCCGCCTAGGCACCGAGGACGTAAGCACATTGTCGAACCTCGTAAAATTCTCGTGTTCTTTCGTTTTCTTTACCCGTTTTCGTCAACAATTGGTATCAGATGTCAGCAGCAAAATTCGAAGTCGCGAAATTCGATGGTCAGGATAACTTCGGATTATGGCAAACGAGGGTGAAGGATCTATTGGCGCAGCAAGGGATCTTGAAGGCTTTGCGACCTACAAAGCCGGCGTCGATGGATGAGGAAGATTGGGAAGAATTGCAGCAGCGAGCGGCAGGAACCATACGATTATGCTTAGCGGACGAGGTCATGTATCACGTCATGCATCTATCGTCTCCAGAAGAAATTTGGAGGAAATTGGAAAGTCAGTTTATGTCCAAATCCTTAACGACAAAACTGTATCTGAAGCAGCGGCTGTATGGGCTGAAGATGCAGGACGATCACGATTTGGCGCAACACGTGAATGTTTTCAATCAAATCGTTTCTGATCTGGCTCGGCTTGATGTGAAAATTGAGGATGAAGATAGAGCGATGATTCTGTTGTGTTCGTTGCCTCCCTCTTACGAACACATGGTGACTACTCTTACATATGGGAAAGAGACTATCAACGTTGAGGAGATTACTGCAGCCTTGTTGGCTCACAACCAGCGGAAGCAGAATGCAGGGGAAAGCTCTCAAGCCGATAGCTTATATGTCAAGGGTAATCGAGATCGTGGACGGAAGCCAGAGAAGGCAGGGTCCGGGAAGCGGAATTCCAGATCCAAATCCAGGGATAAGAAGACGATTCACTGTTACAAGTGCAATGAGGCGGGACATATGAAGCGAGATTGTCCGAAGTTGAAAAAGCAGACTGATGAGAAGCGTGATGGCTCATCCAAGTTTGTGAACGTGGTCGAGGATGATACTTCTGATTGCAGTGAAGGTGATATGCTTTCTATTTCAACGACACAATTGACGGATGCTTGGATTCTTGATTCTGGATGTTCTTATCACATCACGCCAAATAGGGAATGGTTTTCAACATACAGGCCGGTTAATTCTGGTTCGGTTTATTTGGGTGATGATCGATGTTGCAATATTGTTGGTATTGGTGATGTCAGAATTAAGATGCACGATGACTCCGTTCGGACGTTGAGTGGTGTTCGACATATCCCATACTTGAAGAAGAATTTGATTTCCTTGGGCACTTTGCACAAGAATGGTTTTATCCCTAAGGCTGACGAGGATAGGGAAACCATTCGGATTGTTAAAGGAGCATTGACTGTGATGAAAGGCAAGATGACTGCAGGGAATATCTACAGATTGTTAGGGAGTACCGTTGCAGGTGGAGTTCACTCTGTTGAGTCCTGTGATGATACGACAAAATTGTGGCATATGCGCCTTGCTCATCTTAGTGAACGTGGTATGGCAGAATTACACAAGAGAAACTTGTTGCATGGTGTCAAAAGCTGTAAGCTCGATTTTTGCAAGTATTGTGTTCTTGGTAAACAGACTAAATTCTGTTTCAAGACTGCGAAGCACACAACTCAAGGGATTCTTGATTATGTGCATTATGATGTATGGGGGCCTTCCACGACATTGTCTTTGGGTGGATCTAGGTACTATGTTACTTTTATTGATGATTTTTCACGGAAAGTTTGGGTGTATTTTTTGAAACATAAATCTGAAGTTTTTGAGAAGTTCAAGCTGTGGAAAGCTGAGGTAGAAAACCAAACAGGACGAAAAATCAAGTGTTTACGGTCTGACAATGGTACGGAGTACACAGATTCACAGTTCCTACAATTCTGTAAGGAGCATGGGATTCAGAGGCATTTTACAGTGCGCAAGACACCACAACAAAATGGTGTTGCGGAACGAATGAACAGGTCGTTGAATGAAAGAGCCAGATGTTTGCGGTTGAATGTGGGGCTTCCCAAACACTTCTGGGCTGAGGCTGTTAACATGGCGTGTTACCTTATCAACAGATCGCCAAGGGCATCGCTGGCTGGGAAAGTTGCAGAAGAGGTATGGACTGGTCATGATGTTAGTTTTGATAACTTGCGGATTTTTGGTTGTCCTGCTTATGTGCATGTACCTGCTGATGAGAGATCCAAACTTGATGCAAAATCGAAGGAGTGCATTTTTCTGGGTTACAAGAAAGGTGTCAAAGGATTCAAGTTCTGGGATCCAGTTGCGAAGAAAGTTGTGATTAGTAGAGATGTCGTTTTTGATTAACAGTCCATGTTGTAGCAGAAGCAAGACACGACAGTGGTAGATTTCGAGCAGTTTCCAGTTGAGAAACCAGAAACTTCTCAACCGACTTCTGGTGGTTCCACTACGGATGATTTGCAGGATTATAGTCTCGCCAGAGACAGGGTGAGACGGACGAATATAAAGCCTCCGAACAGATTGGGTTTTGAAGACTTGGTATCTTTTGCACTTACTGTTAGCAGTGATGATCCAGTTACTTTTCATGATGCCGTTACTAGTCAGGAAAACGACAAGTGGATGGCAGCCATGGTTGAGGAGATGGAGTCTTTGAATCACAATCGCACATGGGAGTTAGTTCCCCTTCCTGAGGGTAAGAAGACGATTGGTTGCAAATGGGCGTATAAGAAGAAACCAGCAGTAACAGAAAAGAGGGGGAGAAGTTCAAGGCTCGTTTGGTAGCGAAGGGTTTTTCACAGCAGAAAGGAGTTGATTATGATGAAATCTTTTCTCCTGTGGTCAGGCACACTTCAATCCGAGCAGTACTTGCATTGGTGGCTAGTTGGGATTTGCATTTAGAGCAGATTAATGTTAAAACTGCTTTTTTGCATGGTGATTTAGAGGAGCAGATCTACATGTGGCAACCTGAAGGTTTCACTCAACCTGGAAACGAGCATTTAGTTTGCAGATTGAAGAAATCTTTGTACGAGTTGAAACAGTCTCCGAGACAGTGGTATAAACGGTTTGACTCCTATATGATCAATATTGGCTACAACCGATGTGAGTATGATTGTTGTGTCTATGTTAAGAGCCTTGATGATGGTTCTTTTATTTTTCTATTACTGTATGTTGATGATATGTTGATTGCTGCTAAGAACATGGATGATGTTATCGGTTTGAAAACTTTATTGAGTCAGGAATTTGATATGAAAGATTTAGGTGCTGCAAAGAAAATTCTTGGAATGGAAATTTGCAGGGACAGAGACTCAAGGAAACTGCGGCTATCTCAACGGGGTTATGTTGAAAAAATGCTAGAAAGGTTTGCGATGAGCAGCGCGAAACCAGTTAGCACTCCATTGGCGAATCACTTTAAGCTCTCATCAGAACAGTGCCCTAAGACAGATAAGGAAGCTGAAGATATGGCAAAGGTTCCGTATTCTAATATTGTTGGCTGCTTGATGTATGCGATGGTATGTACTCGTCCTGATTTAGCTCATGCTGTTAGTCAAGTTTGTAAGTACATGTCTAAACCTGGTAAGCAATATTGGGAAGCAGTCAAGTGGATCTTTCGATACTTAAAGGGTACTGTGGGACATGGAATTGTTTTTGGCAGTCAGCGGGATAATCCTTTGGTTGTAGGATATGTGGATTCAGATTATGCAGGTGACTTGGATAATAGAAGATCTACGACATGGTATGTGTTTACTCTTGGTGGAGGGCATATTTGTTGGAAGTCTACTGTTCAATCTGTCGTGGCACTATCTACAACTGAAGCTAAATACATGGCAGCGGCTGAAGCTGCAAAAGAAGCTTTATGGCTTACTGGTTTAGTGAAGGAGTTGGGTGTTCAACAAGGTGGAGTTCAGTTGCTTTGTGATAATCAAAGTGCTATTCACTTGGCTAAGAATCAGGTGTATCGTGCTAGAACTAAACATATTGATGTAAGGTTCCACAAGATCAGAGAGTTGGTTGCATCTGGAGAGGTTTTGTAATTATGTACCAGGGTTTTCTATTATAAATAGAGATGTAACCTAGACCTAAAATATCATTGAATAAAACTTCTAGCGCCGCCTAGGCACCGAGGACGTAAGCACATTGCCGAACCTCGTAAAATTCTCGTGTTCTTTCGTTTTCTTTACCCGTTTTCGTCAACAAAAAGGGTAGCGTGCGGTAATTTCAATCTCTTCCAATACTCTTCCGAAGGTGATCCGCAGAGCTTGAAGATTTTATGTAGTTGCTCCACCTAAAAGCAATAAAATCCAGAGATCATCACGCCTCCTAAGACGACGTACTACGAAAATTCGAATGCGCATCCTATAGGCAGAGCAACAAGTACCTCTGTTCTTCCAGGCACGATAGGCTTTCCAGCAAATAGTTCTGTGAGAATGCAACCAGCGCTCCACAGATCAACGGCAGCTCCATAGTCTGTACAACCGAGCAAAAGCTCCAGAGGGCGGTACCACAAAGTTACGACACGGCTCGCCATAGGCCGCTTCTCATCGGCATGGGAAAAAGTTGCCAGTCCGAAATCAGCAATCTTGAGGTTACCATTATTGTCTATCAGGATATTTGCACCCTTGATGTCACGATGCAGAATGCCTCGACTATGGCAATGGTCGAGTCCATTGAGCAGCTGCTGCATATAGCACTTGATCTGCACCAGAATCTCAAAAATTTCAGCACTCGAACAACCCGAATAACCTATGCACATTAAGCACCGGAACATACCTGAGCCTCGGTGAGTTTAATCCCCGGCGTTGCTGCAAACCCTGCAAGATCATGCTCCATGTATTTGAATATAAGGTACAAACTTCCTGACACCCTAGAAGTGATTATACCTTCAAGCTTCATAACATTCGAGTGATCAAGCCTGCGTAGAATAATAATCTCCTTCACCATGAATCGAATACTCTCGGGATCCATATTACCAAATCGAACTTTCTTCAAGGCGACTATCCTGTTCGTTTCGACGTCCCGAGCTTTGTACACGCTGCTGTAAGCCCCTTGATCGATCTATATAGTTATAACAAGAATAGACAACATGTATGAATGTATGATATAAGTTTCAAAGTAAGCATACATAAGAAAACTCGAAATTCCGGATATAAATATGGTACAAACAAACCTTTTCCAACCGTTCATACGAGTCTGCCTTGCTAGGAATCCACCCACTGATGGCTTCTCCGGCGATGGATACTAACCACGACGGCCAGCCGGAAACGATCTGCCCGCCTCTCTCCCCACCGGTCACGCTCACGAGCCTCGAAAACCTCTGCTGGTGCCCTTGTCCACCCCTTGCCTGCGCATCCAATGATAGTCCCCTTTGAATCTGTGATGGGGTGTTTTTAAACTTCTCAACGACCGCCAATGTCATCTTGTTTTTCTCGTCGTCGGAACCGGACTTTTGGCTCGGCTGCTGGCTCGAAATCAACCACGCAGCGGCGTTCGTCTCCGCCTTAACGTTGTCCTCTTTCTCCCCATGGTTATACTTATTATCCCCGACATATTCATTTGATTGAGTTTCCTTCGAACAGATGCAACCCATGGTTTAAAATCTCAAGAACTAGGAACTCGCCCCGTTCGATGGTGAACTTACACCACAGATCGACAGGAACACAGACCCATGGAAATCGAGAAAATTAGCATTCTTTAAACCGAATGATGGAACCCCAAAACAAATCAAAACTAAATTGCAGGTAAAGTTAACCATAAATGGGAAATGAAACAAAATGGTTAGAGATTATAATACAAATTTTGTTTGATTTAATTCGAAAAGTTTATAATATGATTCGCGTGACAAAAATATAAAATATTTATAAATTTATTGTTTAGGTTTTTGGTCGAGTTATATAGAGAGAGAGGTATGTAAACGAACCGAATGTTTAGTGAACCGTTCGACATGAATTTCATTTATGTTCGTTTATTTACTAAATGAACGAACATGAACAAGATTTTATGTTCGTTTAATTAAATGAACGAACACAAACGAAAGGCTCGTTCGTTCATTTACATTCGTGAACATTCGATAATCTATTTGTTTATGTTTGTTTGTTTATGTTCATTTGTTTATGTTTGTTCATGTTCATTCGTTTATATTCGTTTATGTTCTCCAGACCCGATTGAAATGTTAAGACTTAATACATTTTAACTTTAAACCCGTTAATATTTTTAAAATCAATTAATTTTAAACTCAAATAAAAAAATACTCAATTCAATTAAAGAAAATATAAATCCTAAAATTATTTGAAAAAGTAAAAAACTCTTCTCAAATATAAACCTAAGTAATTTTATGTTTGTTCATTTGCGTCCGTTAACATTCATTCATTTGTGTCCGTTTATCATTTAAATGAACGAACATGAACAAACACGAACAAATTAAATTTTATGAACGAACACGAACAATAAATTATGTTCGTTTACTTATTCGTATTCATTCATTTGTTCAGTTAAAGGTAAACGAACGAATATAACATACACTCATTCGTATTCGTTCGGTTCGTTTACATGCCTATATATATATATATATATATATATATATATATCGAGAGTGACACTTTCAGCCTTGTCGAGAAGAACAAAGATGACACTTCGGCAAGACGAGCGACAATGTCGTCGGTAAATCGAGACCTCCGACTGATGTGGGACTCCTTCCGGCGAGATGGAGAACGCTAGCCCTCCTCAGTCCTACCTCCTACATGAAGAAGCTAGCTTGTTCGACGTATGACCATGCTGGCCTAAAGGTATAGTCCTATATTTTCACCTATCCCTGCAAGGTTTTCCACTTTTCTTCAACTGTGTCAACTCATCTTAGTTCGATCGAATTAACCGACTAATAAATCAAATATAGATGGTTACTTTAAAAGTAAAAATCGCCTTAATTTTTTTTAATTATATATAAACCATACGTTGAATTATGTTTAAATTTAATTTTATTCATATGTTGTTACGGTGAATCGTGTAAAACACGTTTTAATTTAATTTATAATTGATTTATGCATAATAATAATCAATTGTAATATTGGCCAATGACTGTAGACACAAGTGGTTGAGATTTATGAATTCGAGTTTGTAAGCCCAAGTTCAAATCCTACCACCGTCACTCTTGGTGGACAATCTGTAAATTCCTATGTAAATCCCGATTGAGTCTTAGGTATGCCCTCCTGATCCTGGACTGGGGAGTCACCCCGACCTAAACTTTATGTAACAAAAAAATCAATATTAATATTTGATTCCTATGTATAATAATTTCTTGATTACCTAATGGTGATATGTGTTCTAAATACTCTCGATCATTTGACAATGAAGACTTAAAATATTTTTATAGTCATTGGTGCTTGAACTTGAGACCTTTAAAGATAAAAGTAATCCTATTAACCACCAAAGTAATTTAATTCGTGTTTTCTTTTAAAAAAAAAAAATTTGATTTGTGCACCTATATGTAATAATTAATATATATATATAGTAAATAATTTATCACTTCTTACAAAATAAAATCTATTTTGTTTTTCTTTTATCAGATTACATACCAAAAGAAGAAAACGAAAATCTCGATTTTATTTATGAAGAACTTAAAATAAAATCACGCTCTTCGTAAGGAAGGAAAGAGGAGAGAAAATGGGGTTAATTCGCCAAGCATCCGTAAACTATGACCTAGAGTTTAAATTGATCTATAAAATTTAAAATATTCCAATTAAATCTTTAAAATATTAATATTATAGAAATTAATTACTTTCATTAACTTTTTTTGAATAGTTTAAAGTGATTATAAATTTTCTTAACAATTAACAATTCACATACATCTTATAGACACAACTATTTGAACTCAAAATATTCAAAGAGAATAACAATCTCTTTTACTACTGAGATCATGCGATGAATTCAATGTGATATATTCTTAATTTATATGTGAACATATCATGACATATGGGAATTAAAAATTGCGGTAAGTACTTAAATATTTATTATTCAATTCAAATATTTTAAATATTTCATGTTCGAGTAGAGTGTATTTAACACTGCAACCAAGGGTTACACTCATATAGTCATGTTTTGAGGACTTAATTAAGAAGTTTAAAATTTATAGGTCAATTTAGAATTTTTACAATAGTTTTGGGATGTTTTATTGAATTAACCCAAATAAAAAAGGTAAGCAAATCGCCTTGGAACGCAGCACTGGAAAAAGCCACGTAGGCTCGGAAAATGGGCCTAATCCTAGACGAAGAATTCACGAAGCAAGTGGCTCGGATAACATAGCTGGAGACAACCTGTCACCAACAAATCCCCACTCACCTATTCCCCTAACTTCTCTCTCCGCATCTTGGCATTCACTTACATCCAGTTTTAGGGGTTTTCCTTCGATCTCCTTTTGTTCGATTCTGCATTTCCTCTCCCGGCTTCGACGGATTAAGACTCTCCGCTTGGTAAGCTCTTCGACGACCTAAATTTCACTCATTTTGGTTCTGTTAGGAGTTTGCTACGGTGTTATTGAAGTTACTCTTCATTTTATAAATTTCACGGGACTTTTAGCTTAATGATTATACTGCATGCACCGTTGATGGAAATGGATGTTGAAGATTTGACGTTTAGTTTGTGTTTCATTCTTTCTTTTGGAAAAAGAATGCTTAGATTTGGATTGTTGGTTTGCTAAAGATAGTAATTTGGGATTTATTTGAATAATTTGTAGTTGATGACAAATGGAGGGAAAAGAACAGGAAAGAAATGTATAGATTTTTGCAGCTTATCCTTGAGAATTATATTAAGCTTAGAAGAAATCATACATGTTCCAGGGAGTTAGTTGCATAAAGAAAGAACGGAAAACTTTCAGTCTACATTTATACTGTAAGAAACCAAGTTGCTGTCTTATTACAGTGGACATTTTCTATGAGGGGGCATTAAGTATAATGTGCTTAGTATGCTAATGATTAGTGAGATATGTTAGGGCTAGGTATATTTCGTCTTCTTTGTCATTAGGGGCATGCGTTGGATATTGTTCAGATTGTGTTAAATAGGATTATTGTATGATAAAAATGGAGCTACTTGTTGGGTGTTATTACTTGATCATTCCCTTTGAAGTTTTTATAACTTTTTTGCTTGTATACCTATTTGGATATTTTGATTGAACATCAGATTTAGATTATTAGGGCTTGATTTTAATATATTTTTCTAAATGATGTAAAGTGAAGCTTTTGATTTGCTAATCTTGTATGAACTTGTCTTTCTTACACAGTGATTATTTACTTAAATATCTAAGTTCTTACCTAATATCTGTGTTTTTTTTGTCTAGTCAGTATGATGTGTTACTTTTGGTTATGTTGTTTTGGAAACATATGGCCTGTATTACCATTGATTGGTGTCTCAAATGTTTAATTAAGATGACACGCAAGAATTCGTTGTCATACTGACATAGATGTTAATAGTGATGCGTTACTTCTGCTTATGCTAATGCTGAAACGAATGGCTTGTATTGTCATTGATTGTGGTCACGATTCTCGAATGTAATTAAGATGACATGCTGGGATTCGCTGTCCCGCTGACATAGACATTAACGTTGATGAGTTACTTTTGCTAATATTGATGTGGTAGTTTATGGCCTGAACTGTTACTGGTTGTTGTGTCAAATTTTTAATTAAGTTGACATGTAAGAATACTCGTGTACTAGCTAAAATTGCTAAGGTATTCTTATTTTTTTTTCTAACTTGTATAAATGAAACTGGCGTTACGTTTTTATATGGTAGTTTGGATTAGTCTGCCAGTGCAACATGACCTGTAAGGCGTTTCTGCCACGTAATGTAATTAATACAATTCATATCTGTTCACATATGGGCGGCTATATAAGTGATCTTACTCGGGCTTTCATCCAACACATTTGAAGATCTTTCCATGAGGATGTTTTGTGTATTAGGTGATTGTGCGTCTCTGTCTCACTGACTTGCTTCGTGGTCATATGCATCTGAAAGTTTATCTTTGTTTGATTATAGATTTCATCTAGCCTCTCTGCATACTTTGAAATTTTTCTTTTGTTATAGATTTCACTCATAGTTTTTTTTTGTTCCACAGGTTCTTGGATCAAATAATTGAAGTCTGAGCGAAACCTTGAAGGTTAGTTGGTGAAACAGCTGTCTACATGTGATATTTGTTAGTTTTGAGTTGATTAATGCTTGAATTACATGGATCTGTTGAACCAGCTAGAGGATAAGTTCTATTGATTATGCTGTTTATTCATCTTCTTAGTTGGTTAATCTTCGTGTCATCCAGTATTGGTTCAGTAGTGGCTTATAGATATAATTCTCAGAAGGTTGCTTGTACGTCAGAGGATCCTTTGCGTCCATGCTAGCAGAGAGCATGCGTGGAATCTGTGTTTCGGGTAATGCCCCTGACAAGAATTTTTTCCGAAGCATTCGGTGTGTTGACAATTTGTCTAGTTGCTCTGTTGATTCTTCTTGGCTTGCTGTGCATCGGATACACATTTTACTTGCGTTCGCATGCTCTTGGACAAGGATTTAATCAGCTCAGTTACTTCAGTGGTCCTTGGATAATCAGAATCACATTTGTTTTGTTTACCATTTGGTGGGGTTTCGGCGAAATTCTACGGCTAAATTTTCTAAGGAGGGAAGGAAGAGTGTTTAATGAACTCGATTTTAAATGGCAAGAAAATGTCTGCAGATGTTACATCGTTTCAAATTTAGGTTTTGCGGAACCTTGCCTCTTCCTCACTCTCGTGTTTCTTCTCCGGGCACCTTTACAGAATGTAGACACAGGAATCCTCAGCCAAAAATGGAATGGGAAAACAGCAGGCTGTGTTCTCCTCTTCTGCCTCCCATTCTTTGTTCTTCAACTATTTCTCATTTTGATTGGACCCGAGTTACACAAGGTTGAGAGAGAGTTACCGCCGTATTTCACTAGAGTAGCTACCCCAGGGATGCAAAATTCTGATGACATAGCTCTTTGCACTTACCCTTTCCTGAATACTATTCTTCTCGGGCTTTTTGCCACCGTATTGACTGCCTATTTATTATGGCTCGGAAGGCGGGTTTTGAAATTGGTTATCAATAAGGGTTTGCAGAAGAGAGTTTATACTTTGATTTTCTCGGTTTCGACTTTCCTCCCGTTAAGGGTTATTTTACTTGGTTTGTCTGTTTTTTCTAAACCAGAGCAATTTCTGTTTGAAGCTCTGGCATTCTCATCTTTTATTGTCCAACTATGTTGTGCTGCGATCTGTATTGTCATACTTGTATACTGCCCGGTGGCGGATTGTCTAGCCCTTGGGAATCTTACAGACTTGGAGGCTCGGAGAAGGGTTGTTCTCGTCGACCATAATGACACTGCTTCACTATTTGCTAATCGGGGTCATCTTGAAGAAAGTGTTGCAACGAGCCTCGAGCGGAGTTCCGATGCCTCTACTAAGCGTGGATCGATTTCTTTCCGGACTTTCGTAAGAGACGAGACTTCAGCCGAGGCATTTGTGGAACTGAGCCTCTTTTCTCCTAGTCGGGATGGCAGCCCTCCGGCCTCGTCTTCCCTCGTTGGCTGGCCGATGAGGTCTCCTGCTAGACATGCTCATGGGCAAGGAAACTGAGTTTAGTGGTGGTGAATATCAATTTTGTGGTAGAGAAGAAACTGATTGTAAAGGGTTTAGCTTTCAATAAGGATTATTATTCTCGGGGTGCTTTGTTTTCCCAGTAATTTTAGATATGGCGGTTTTTGCTTAATGGAATTTATAATCGAAACCCCTTTTTGCCTTTTATTTTGTTAAAATTGTAGTTATTTATTACATATTATAAGTATCTTCTAAAATTAATATATATATTATAAATTTGTTATGAAAATTCGACTTAAAATTTTGGTAAATTACATGGGTGACCATTTTAACTATGGGATTTTTTAATCTTGCCATTAATCTATTATTTTTTTAACTATATCACTTATTTAAGTGCATATTGGTTTTGTTACTGAATTTTAGAAACTTTCAATATTGTTTTCTCTCACTACCATTAAATCATCGACATGATTATTTGTTTTCCTATTTCATGTAGAAAATTGTCAATTTCATTGATTATCATTGTTGATTAATCGTTGTCCGTTATTGATAGTAATATGTAGTAACTTTAATACTAAAATGTTTTTATTTCACTCATCTTTCTTTTCATCGAATTAGCTTTTCACGGATTTCACTTTAAATTAATGAAAATACATATAAAGATTCAATGTTCTAATCTCTGATCTCATTTAACGATTGTTTGATAAAATTAATTTCGAAGTATATTGTTTGTCTTCTTGAAAGAATGATTTTCAACATTAAAATTTTCAAACATACCTAACAATCTCAACTTCAAGAAAACCCTAAATCCTAAAAAAATGGTGTTTTAGTGTTTATTTTGGTGACTTTAAAAGATATTTTAAGAAAAAATAAACTGATAAAATAATAGACAATGATAAAATGAATTCACTAATATTTAGAATGATCACAAAAATATTCAGAAATAATGATTTTCAACTGTGACAAAAAAAAATGATGAAAAGTCATAATTTTAACTTCTATGTCAGCACTAAACTATCATAATGTAGACTATTAACAATTTAGTAATTCACTTACTAAAAGTTTATGGCTTAAATGCATATTTCCCCCCTAAACTATACCCTTTTTACCTAGTTGCCCTTTGAAGTATTTTTCGTACCGTTTTGCCACCTCGACTAAAAATCGTTACCCCGTTTGCTCCAAATCGCTAACACCGTTAAAAGCAACATAGATAAATTACATATTTAGTCAATCAACTATTCTCATGGTTATGTTTTCATCACTTAATTATTCTTTTTTAAAATAATCATTAAACTTAAGGGTTTTTTCATTTTAGTCACCTAATTTAATTGCACGTCTGCTTCTACTCTCTTTATGATTTCCCCCCTTTTGTTTAATCTAAACAAGGTTTAGATTAGTATAAAGGGGTGTTCAATCCGTCGGTTTGGTTAAAAGACCAAACCAAACTTCCAAAATTTCATTTTAACCGTTAACCAAACCAAAATTTTTTGAAAATAGAACCGAATAACCAAAATTTTAAATATATATATATATATTATATTAAATATTTACATTTTTGGTTGGCTAATTTTTTTGATTAATTCGGTTAAAACCAAAATTTAAACACTCCTAGAGCTATTAATAAATAAATAAATAAATATATCAAATATTTTAAATTTTTGATTAATTCGATTAATTAACCAACTTTGAACCGATAACCGAATTTTGAAAAAAATCATTAACCGTTAACCGATCGAATGTAAAATTAACTGACATTATTAACCGAAAATATTTTGGTTGGGTCGGTATAACCGGTTAACTAAAATATTGGAGAAAGTGTGTCTTTAATTAATTTTCAGTGTTCAAACGTGTTAAGATCAAATATTATGTTTTTTTAATGAATTCTTATATATTAAAATTTTTAAAAATAAATCGAATTTAATTTAATGACCAAAATGAAACAAAAACTTAAGTGTAGTGATAATTATGAAAAATAAAATAGTTGGGTGACCAAAATAAAATCGTGAGAATAGTTGAGTGACTAAGTATATAATTTACCCCTGTATTTTTTAATGGATTGGGGCAAACATGGTAATGATTTTTAGTTGAGGAGGCAAAACAATACGAAAAATACTTTAAGAGACAACTCTATAAAAAATGTATAGTTTAGGGGAAAATATGCATTTAGGCCAAAGTTTAAAGTTTAGTAGAAAAATATTATTATTATTTTTAAATTCAATGATAAATCGGTATACAAACGAAATTCGGTGACTAACATCATAGTAGTTTAACATAATAAACAAATAATATTTGGGGTAAATTACGTATTTAGTATTTAAACTATTAGTTTTAGTCTATCTTAATACTTAAACTTTTAATTTTTTCAAAATCATACTTAAAGTTTATTTTTCATTTCATTTTAGTATCCGACGTGAAAAAACTTAACGCGTTTAGTACCTAAACTATCAGTTTTGATTCATTTTAGTATCTAAACTTTTAATTTTTTTCAAAACTTAATGTTAAATTCAAAATGAGGGTACTAAAATGAAACCAGAACTAAAATTTTTAACGGCAGAATACTAAAATGAAACAAAAACTAAGTCTCAAATATGATTTTAAAAAGTAAAAATTTAGGTACAAAAACAAAATAGAACTGAAAGTTTAGATACTAAAAACATAATTTACCCTTTTCCTTTTTCGAGGAAATTTACTCAATATATTAGTAGTAAGCCAAAACCCTAGCAAAAGCTTCACCGTTCCCTCTCAACCATTTGGCACGCCAAACAGAGACGAACAGAAACGAAAAAGCTTTGAAATCGAAAGGTAATGGCCTCATTCGAACAAGCGCCGCCCGGAGATTCGAAAGTCGGGGAGAAGATCTTCAAGACTAAGTGCGCTCAGTGCCACACCGTCGATAAAGGCGCCGGTCACAAGCAAGGTTGGCTTCTCTCAGATCTGATTTATTTTGTGCTCATTTTTTTTAAGATAATAATTCTAACTTCTACCAGTTTGTTTGTATAGCGTTTTCTTTCATGTCATTTTGGTATGTCTTATTGTTATTGGTCAGGAGTACTTGATCTTGCTTGTTCTTCTGAATGAAAGAAGAATCTTGTTTGTTCTTAGATTTATTAAGCTTGTTTATTTATTTATTATTTTATAACTGGAACCAGGTCCGGTTTTAAATTTTAAAAGGATGTGTATGTTTCTCGAATAGAAGGATTTGCATTGAATCAATATGATCCGGTCCTGACCCAAATCCGAAAGCCGATATGATCGACCAGAATCAAAATCTGATTTGATAAAGAGGTCAACAACCTGAATCCGAAGTGACCTGAACTATAATGATCCGAATCCTTAAGCAATCTGAACTCGAATTTGCCTAACCCCAGAATTGACCTGAACTGAAATGAACACTCGGAAAATTTTAAAACGCCAAGTTAATTCAATTTGGATCGAACCCAAAGCCAACCCAACTTACCAAATTGATGTGTTTAATCCACAAAATTTTACTACTATTTTAATGTTTACGGAATTTTAAGCCGATATTTATTGAAATCTGCAGGGCCAAATTTGAATGGGCTTTTCGGGAGGCAGTCTGGCACAACACCAGGATACTCCTACTCGCTGCTAACAAAAATATGGCTGTGATTTGGGAAGAGAAGACATTGTATGACTACTTGCTTAATCCCAAGAAGGTATGCGCAAGTCTTGTAACATTTTCAGTTCAATGATTGAGCTTTGCATGCTATTGTATGTTTGTAACTTTCGAGTATGCAAGGAAAATCATGCTGGTAATGAATTCTGTCTCTTTATCTGTCGGTAGTTTTATACATTACAGTGACCTTGTTTTCAGGATATGAACTGATTGGCTGTTCCGAAACATGAAAACAATTACTTCATTTCCTTTTTTTTTGTTTTGGGGGGGTTGATGTTCCGAACCTAGTGTATCTCAAATCAACTTAACATGGTGTTCTAAGATAAATCTCCCCCCAACAAGTTTGTTTCCCGGGGTTTGAAAGTGTGTTCTTAGCCTTATGGGGACTAAGCCAATACTACTATTGAGGAAGTGTTAACATGGAGATGGTTGATGTTGATTGCCTTGCCGTCGGAATAACATTGTTTGTGCTACTGATTGATCATTGGGTTCCATTAATGGAAATGACATTTGGTGCAATTTTTTTTGGCTTCAAGTATAGTGAACACGACAAAGAAGGTGATTTGTTACAAGATTGTTCTCGATGGTTTGTGTCATTTTACGTGCATTATTGCATTACATCTGCCATTAGTATTATTATGCTTGCATTTCAGTTGCATTCTGCATTTGGTGCAGTTTTCTGGGTTTAGATCGGTATGAAGTAGATGTCTCTGTACTACTATTTCTTTCCTTGAGAAAGGGATTTCATTGTCGAATCGGTTTGCCTGTAAATGTGGTCTTGTGCAGTATATTCCCGGGACGAAGATGGTTTTCCCTGGACTGAAGAAGCCGCAGGATCGTGCCAACCTCATTGCTTATCTGAAAGAATCGACTGCCTGATTCATCTCCGCTTTTTTCAGTATAATCTATTTCGGATTATACTTCGGAACCGAAACGGAGTGAAGAATTTTGATCAATGATTTATTTTTTCTTACAGGAAAGAAAAGAGCTGAGGCATTGTTAAAATAAAGAAAACCTGAAAAACAGCTCCAGGATAAATTTGGGTATTGGAATTTAAGATTTTGTCTGTGCAAAGACCTATCCTACGAGGGTGAAGCATTCGATGATTTTCTTTAGCGGCGGTGGCTCCCAACTTTATTATGTTATCTTAGGTTCTTATGTGCTCAATTTGTTTTCTTGGCTTTATTATCTAAAATTGTGTTTGCATCTTATTTTTTTAGTGCAGGTGATTAAGCTGCTTAGATTTAAAATTTAAATTTATATTAATAAAAAATTATGGAAGGCCAAATTGCTTAAATGTCATCATCAAAAAAGTAATTTTTTTGAGTATTTTTTAATTAATTATAAAAATAATATTATTTTATAGATCGAATTTGTTATATAAATATGATGTTTAATGAGTTATAATTTTTATATAAAATTTTCTAATAAACTATATTTTCCATGAACTAAGTTTTAAATGTCTATTTTTTCAGTTAGATATAATAGTAATTGAAAAAAAATTAAAATACCTCGATTTTTCCATTTAAAATTTTGTTCATGGAAAATATATTAAAAGAAGTTATAAATA